ATAATAATAAGCATTCTTGCTTAAAATCAGGAACCACACACTGGCTCACCACAGCCCTTTGTATTCTCTTCATGTTACACTGAGAAAGGAACGATTCTGTGCAGTTTATTAAACATTCTTAATGATGGAAATGTGTTTCTCTGCAATAGTCTGATTTAGATTTATGATACAGATGTTCAAATGAGCCTTTTAATGCTTACCAGCAATGAACTCCCCAGCTTTAATCACACTAAAAGAGGCCTGTGCAAAGGCCACGCAAGACAGCTACAGTCGCACCAGATGTCACCAGAGGGCCTCAAAACTAATTTCTAGAACTTTACTGGGGGATTGTTCTACAAGAATTTCCTTATAACGTAGATGATTTGTGTGGGCATGCCAACTTAACACAGGTGCTTGAAATCTAATAGAACAGCATAAACGTTTCCTTAGAAAGGAAAGCCTTTTTATGGACTCACAGGTGAGAGGTGGCTGGTGAATCTTTTTCAAGCAGCAGTGGCTAAAGACATCACTGTGGTTTCAGAGTGATTTCAGACATGGTGAAAAAGGTCTGACCTTTAAGCCACCAAGGGGAATTACTGTATAGACTGTAGGACGTTTGGAAAGAGGGCGGTAGTAGTTCTTTGGCTACAGAGAATAAACGTGCGCTATCATGGATATCTAGGAACAGGATGGGCATGGGGGTCCATCAGCACGCTGACTCCAAGGGAACAAGCAGAGTTTAATGTCATGCTGGAAAGTTGAAAGGAAGAATGAAAAAACATTTTGGCTGTGGAGTCTTCAGGTGTGTGGCAACAGGAATACAAGACTGAGGGTGTGTAGGAGGACAACAAATAAATGTGAGAAGAGAAAGGGGGAGTGGGAGGAAATTGAAAATTGGACAGCCTTTCTCGCTTCACCTCCCAGACTTTCTTGTCCTCCTTACCCAAACCTCAATTTATTATTGCTGCTTTCTGTCATTCTGCCACAGACCTGACGACAATTCCATAGACAAAATATTGTTTTCTCTTCTTATTTTTCTGCATTTCAGTGTGGACTAAGTCTCTGTTCCTGTATAGCAAAGAATATTAAGTAAGATATCCCATAGCTGTGTGGCTCCTAAATGGCTCATGTACAGTAGTAAAGGTGTGATCTTAGGTACCGCTGGTTCGACCCACTAAGTGACTGAGACTGGGATTCCCCAAGCACTGCCAGGGTAAGTGGGTGATACCTTTCCAGTGTCCTCTTGATTCTTGGAGCCACAGTAACTCTGCACCTTACCAGGTGCTTTTAAGCTTTCAGAAGCATCAGTGGGAGACCCGTGGCTCCTCTAAACAGCACCACCTCTACTGTGTGGCACTGTGGAGCTTACATTGGGTCTAAAAGACGACTGGCACTGCCAGATGGGCGTGTCAGGGGAGTATGTCCACACATCCTCATTCTCTCTATGTCCAGTTGAGCCAATAAGTCAAATCTTAAAAGCTAATCGCTTTTGCAGACATCCTGTGAATGCTAACACTTGCAAACAAATTTACACAACAGTAAACACATGATTGCCTGTTGATCACAGATGTCACTGGCGATTGGACAGCTGTGATGTGAGAAACGAGTTCTCAGTGATCCTCAGAAAGGTAGTGCATTAAGAATAGAGGTGCTTTTAACAAGGAGAAGGACATTTCACATGTCAGCATTATGAAACTGTAGTGCTGGGTGTGCTCCTTTTGTAACCTTTTCTCAGTAGAATAGATGTAAATTATATTCTTACATGCAGGAGAGTACAGTAGATGCTTTCATGTAACATCCCAGTTATGGGCCTTGTCCTATTAGAGAAGCTCTCTTATGTAAAGAAACGTCAAGTTATTGGGCTTGAATTGTCATCTTAATTGGAGCTCAAGGCATTAAAAGTACCCTATTTTTTGTTACCTCTGAACTGAAGACAAACTGATGCTATTTTTGGCTTTGCAGCAGGTATAGAACACAAAAGGAAATATTTCTGTCTCCTGTAAAAGTCTTTGTTTCCCAGAGCGTCTCTTAACATGACAGCCCCAGTGATCCGAACAAGGCTCATTGATTAATGGAAATGTCATCTGGGTTGAAACAGCTACACTCAGCTTACGGCAGCTCACTTCTATTAATAAATAATCATCAGACGTTCTAAATACCAGCCCCATGTTGCCAACTGTCCACGTTCAAGCACACATTTGTATCTATTAAATGTGACAGTATGTATATTTTTCCATTTATGTTGTGTAGAAAATGCTTATGAAACATTATGTATTTTTTAATTATGGGTTGACTGTTTAGTTCCCCAAAAACATTTTGGTTTGTTTCTATATTTCTCAAGACACTAAGCTGGTAGTTTTTGCAGAACTCTCTGGAAGAACAAGGATGATGTTAGTAGTAACTGATAACTGAAAGTAAAGACTATACAACGAACACTAAGTCAGAGATGTGGAGAATGAATGTCGGGCAGGCTTTTAAAAGCCCAGCTGCAGTCTTATGTGAAGCTACAGGACCGATACCCCCGTTTCTTTATGAGAATGATGTAAAAGGTTAAGCGGTGGAAAGGTAGTTTGCTGTATGATGGCTTTGGCGTCTTGCTATTGAAGTTGTGCCCATAGATCTCAATTTTCCCAGCAGCCCCCTCTTTGATCTCCATCCTTTGATGGTGCTTTGTTTTTAGGCTTCATCAGGGCAAAGTTCCCCCTTGGTATGACCTTCATCCCAGGACTGTCATCCCTCTGTTTGTAGGGGGGCTCTTGTAGAACAGTCTTATGATGAAACAAAGCCACGTGTGACTCACATGATGCTGCAGTTCCCAAATAGGTTGTATACAAATTCTTCAACACAGCTGCATGTAATTTATTTAGCATGCACCATACACCCGATTTTCAAGTCTGGGTTAGGCCCTCAAACATTGGTACAAACCAGAGCTTGAAGCTCTGAAAGGGTTTTTTTCTCTAATGCCATATTTAAAAAAAAAAAAAAAAGCTGTTTCACACTGTTTATGAAATGCATGTTTATTTTTTTTTCTGCTCTTCATTATAATCCATTATAGTCCTGTATGGTTTTTTAGTTCAGAAATGGCAAAAACCTATAGTACATGTATTTATACAACTTAAGTGTTATTTAATAATTGATATTACTCCCAAGTGCAAAGTACTGTAAATATTATATTGTTCAATGAGTACATTATTTTCTTCTACTTTTCAGATATCCCTGAAGAGGAAGCCAGGTACTGGACCAGTAAACTGGAGCAGATAAACACCATGAGACTGCATGATGAGGTACAGGAAACTCATTCTGCTGAGCTGGATCCCTGCTAAACATTGAACAGATCCCAGTTGCAGCTAGCCCTGCAGCAATCAGCATTTAAACTGCATTTCTAAATGCAAATTCTGAGTGATTGCATTCCTACATATATAATCTGACTTAAAAAGAAAATGTTTTTTTCCCATGTTAATCAGTACTTGGCAATTATCCTGAGATATTGTGAAGTGTGTAAAAAATGATCAATACCATCTGACTATGAGAAAACATGTTGTGACATGCATGTGCTTCTGAATTTGGATGTGCAAAAATGCATTATAGTCATAGAGGTTTCCTAGTTTTTAATAATACTGCAATTATGCTTCTGTTTAGAGAAATAGTAAGAGATCACAGGGATCCTTCAGTGTAATTCTTCTGTGAGGAACACTGTGGTGTGAGGTAGAATATAAAGGGCCTAATTATTCAGCATCACTGAACTCCAGCAGTTCAGTTCCCTTGTAATGATTTACTGTAGGAGGGACTAACTTAGGGATCACTTTTAGACAGTGACAACTACTACAGCTTCTCACACACTTGTTCATCATAGAAAAACCATAAACCTTTTTGTAGTAAACAATGCAAAAGAAAAGATGCAAGTATACAATTCATACACCCCTAGCACAGTGACATCATGAGTTAACATCGCTGGGCTGCAGATATATGGATTCCCTGCCCTTGAATATTGTCAAAAAGGTAGAGTTTTCTGATGAAACTCTTTAACAAAGAGTAGAAGGGATTATAATGGATGGCAACCAGCACTGTTATTCCTTAATTGCTACAGCTCATTAGTTAAACAATTCTAATTTTTGTTGTACACATGCATTTTTGTTGAAAAAACAAAGAGGAAATGCTTAATTAACAGCAAGAAATAGTTACATTTTTTTAGTAAGGAAGCCAAAATACAGGCTAAAACAGCACAACAGTACATTTTTTCACAGCTTAGGAAGTTAATCAAAGCTGGTGGTTTTGGTCTTACTGACTAAACAGTGACTGTCTGGAACTGTTGTTGAAAAGACTTAGAGAATATCATTGTTTTGGCAATGTGAAGCATTGGCTTAACATTAGTCTTCACACAGTTTATCTTAAGAAGATTCTGTTTAATCCATCTTGCTCATAACGTACATAACTCATTCATACTCCCACAGCCCTTTGTGTGAAGAAGTGCTGCCCGTTCTTGCTTTGAAATGCACTTCCACCTGTGTCCTCTGATTTGTGTTTTGCTGTTCTTCCTGATGAAATCCATTGGGTTGCACTCTCAATTTCTCCAAGGATTTTAAATGCTTGGATCGGGTTACCTTGATACCTGTCTCTCTTCCCCTCAGTGGATTTTATAGTTTTCTGTCCTTTCCTTCATTCAGTAAACTTCTCTCACTCTCATAAGCCAACAAATAAATCTCTAGGGGAACCACTTTAATCTCGCCCCGTTTGTGGCATGACACACGGGGGCGTGTCCAGTGTGGGGGCGGAGCCCTGGTAGAAGGGCGACGCCTTACCTTTGTCGTCCCAGCTGTCCCGGCTTCTAGATGATGAGCCACAGCTGGGCAGGTCCTAAAAGGGAAACTGGACTCCCCCCGAGGGGACGAGCAGGGACACCCCCGGAAGGGGGGAGTTTAGCATGACAGTCCTAGAGGGAATTGCACTCGCGTAAGGCATTCTTTTTCTTTTCTTTTTGCCTGTCCCAGCACAACAGTTCTTGTTTTGTTCTTGCCGTCCGCGCCCTGCTCTACCAGACTGGACCCCGCTAAACAGGGTCAGTCCAGTCTGGTCACCACTGTGCTAGCGGCTCTTTTTTTTTCCCCAGGCTGGACCCCTTTTTGCCTTTTTGTTTATTTTTCGCCTCTTTTTGTGTTATTTTTGGTCCCTGCGAACCTCTCACTGGTGCTTCTGTCCCCTCACCTGGGGCGTTGACTTTTTACCAGTGCTCGCCGCTGTGCCTCCCACTCCGCACTGTCACGCTTCTCGGAGAAGAGAGCTCCTTCCTCTTCCTCTGTTTCCCATCAATCTGCTTTTCGCTCCCACTCTCCATGGAGTTCTTTTCCGTTGTCAATCAACTGTACTCCAGGGATGACCACTCTCCCAGTTTCTGCTCCTTACTCCACTTCTATTCCCTTGGGACAGGTACCCCTTTTCTCCCTCCAACTTTCCAAGCAACCCAGTAGGATGTCATGATCGACACTTAAATTCAGAAGAAGAATATTGTGACCTGTAGTTAGGGGCACGTCAGCAAATCATAAACTGCCCTTATTAAGGTAGTTAAGGTGCTGTGTTTTTTTCTCAACCCTGACTGACTACTGTAGGTTCATTGTTAGATTGCATCTGAGCTGTCACAGCCGTTCTAGGATTTTTATAAGAAAAGGCAGATTGGAAATAGGGTGGTACTGTAGCTACAAAGTACTTTAGCATCCTGGCAAAGTTTTTTCATAATATACAGTACCCGTGATCGCATCTAATGATGACACAACCATACATTTTGAATAATCTCATTTTCTCCTGCCTCCTGCATTGTAGGTTAAAGTGTTTCAGTGAATGAAAGCTTGTAAAGGATGCAGGATGCAGGATTCATCAATCTGGCTGAAAGTGAAAACCACAACTGCATAACTTGCAAAGAACACAATCCCCTATGAACAGTGGATCATACTTTTGTTGCTTAATGTTCCAGACAGCAAAAGATGGATGTCTCAGAACTTTCATCAGTTAAATGCCAAAAAGACAGATGTTTTGATAGTACTTAGCAGACTAAGACTTGGGTGATTTGTCTCCTAAACTAAAAAAAAAAAATACTTTGACACATATTAGAAAAAAATCTTAAATAACTCCACAAATAAAAAAGGTGAAGTCATTCTTTTCTCTTCCTAATGCTGGTGAAGTATTCCATGGTTTTATCTCAGCCAAACTGCACTACCACAATGCTGTATTTGTTGTTGTCTCTAGGCAAGCCACACCAATGTTACAGCTCAAGCAGGTGCTAGAGTCCATATTTAAACAAAAGAAAACACTTTGTGAATTACTTCTGGAATGGCTGCCCTACACAGAATTCCCGTTAAACTTGGGTTTAATGTATTTTTTTGACTGCATACAAAGCACTCAGTGCTTTCACTCTGATCCTTTTTTTAAATTGACAATTTTAAAGGTATGCTAAGGACTTTTATAGAAGACTGCTTTATTAAACTTTCTTTACTTCTGTCTTTTGTAGCTGGTTAATTTGTTCTGCCACTTACTTTTGATTCAATCAATCAAATAAAATAATAATGTTAAATGTACATGAGAAAACGAACCTTAATGTCACTGGTAATATATTGGTGCCACATGCCAGAATCAAATTTGTAAAATACGTGTATAAAAGTTATAAATGGTTTTCTCCTCTGGAGTTAACATCTAAACGAAGAACTTCATTAAAAGAACAGAGACAGACCAGATCATTACAGCAAAGGGACAGCCTCTATTCATATTGTAGGTTATGAATTAGCATTAATGGTTTTACCTAATTATACTTGACACCGAGTGTCATAAATTACTGCTAATTTATTAATCTGTGGTTCATTAGTGAAAGTATTAGATTGTTTTAAGCAAGATTCAGTGACTTGTTCCCTGTTTTAAATTTACATCGACCTGTACATGGTGCATAGTGCAAAACTTAGCTCATGATTTTTATTGTAATTACAGATCAGCCCTTGCTCTTGTATACTTTCTTTGGAATAGAAACTAATACTCAAAGTCTGTCATATTTGAGTCATAATGTTGTGGTCTATATCATTGTTTTTTTAACTCCTTGAAACCGACCATATAATTGCAGAAGATCTGCCTTGAATTGTTTTTGGTGCTTCATCTTTCTCCCATTTTGGTTCAACAACGCTACTGCATGTCAGCATAAATAAAATTCCTTTGTAAATCAATATTTTTTCTTGCAGCAATGCTTGGTACTGTAGTTATTGTTGTTGGTAGTTAATGGTAATTACCAAAAGGTATCATTGGCATATCTCCGATAATGCAGTGGTCCTCAGCCTTCATCCTGAGGCAACCCTATGTCTGCTGGTTTTTGTTTCAATGGAAGTGTTTATCGCCATTGATAATTGATCCCTCTAAATGATCTACTTCTCTTGCTTGTATACATGTTTTTGCTTCCTGCTTCAAGTTTTTTTTCCTGCATGTATAATTCTGTGCAGTCTTTCCTTAACGTCTTTCTTCAGCTTCTTTGCTTCCTTATCCCTGTCTAAAAGTGCTCTTGGCAGGGAATCAATTTGTGAGCAATACCTACAGGTAGGAATGACATTGTATCAGACACTACTACAGTGAGCGATTTCATCTTTTGTAGAGCCCCGGTGGTTTTCTGGTGTTCTGTAACTTGGAAATTTGTAGAGGGTACGATTTCAGATCCCATTTCACTTTTTGGCTGAAAGTCATATTTTAGAATTTTTAAATCAATTAGCCTGCAATTCAGAGTTCAGCTGGAACAAAAACTAGAGTAGACAGTTGTCCCCCAGGACCAGGGTTTAGAAAAACTGTAATGTAACATTTACATTTACATTTCCTTTAATCTTATTGATCACAAACCACATATCTGGAGTATTTCTGTATCTTAAATTACAAAGGACATTAAGTTCTGTCCGCACTGGAGTCTGCATTGTTATTTAAATCGTTTGAAGAACATATTTACAGTGACATGCTTAGGGGGAACACTGCTTTCTAAAATGTAAAACTGTGAACCAGAATGGGTCTTCTTGTTCTGTACTGTGCAAGGTGTAACTCAAGATACATCCATTTCTTACTCTAGTCTGCCCTCTAGGTGGACTTTTGATTACTGCAACACGTGAAGAGAAAAGCAGTGTGCTTTTGTGACCAAAAAACTCAAAATGCATTAATCAGGATTTCACACACAAAATGAAGCTCTGCAGGTCAATCCTGTTTTAGCTGAATAATGTTGTAACCAAAGTTGTTGTAAGAGGAGAAAGGGAATATATCCTGTTCCTCTTATTGATTTGTAGTCAGTGAGTGAAGCTGGTAAAATCTTTTGATGCTTTGTAAGTTCCTGTGTAGAGATCTGCATGATATATGTACAGCATGTAAAACTCCCCGTGACTATCAAGACTTTGTTGCTGATATTTCTTTATATTCTGTAAGTTTTCTTGTTGGGCCTCTTTATGAGGGAGTATACATACTGTATTGTAATATTGTGTTGCAATATTACATTATTATCGTGTTGGAGGAAGTGACTAATTACTAAGGTAAATTCCACTTTCTCTTTCCAAAGCCAATATTTCCATAGCCAATTATATTGATGTGTATAATGAGAGAAAAGTGAAGAGAGTTTTAATGAAATGAGTATATCCTGCTTGGATACGAAGCAGATTGAATTTGCTATCTAACTTATCTCAGGAAAATTATTTTCCAGTAACTAACAGTGTCATCTGCTAACTCTCTCCCTGTTGCACTTGCGTTGGCACCTCTAAGGGTAAATATAGGTATGTTAGCATGGTGTGGATTTGTGAGGTGGGTTTCTATGCTTAAAGAAGAAAGGTCCAGTGATGGACAGAGGCTGTTTTCACATTGAACTGAAACAGCTGTAGCTCTTTAGTTTCTGGATTGCAGATATATTATATGAAACGTAGAGTAATTATTTTACTGACATTTACTCATTAATAAAGAAAATAAAGATCTGCTTTTCATTAGAATCTATATAGTGTTTTGCATTGCTATTTGCTCTTGTGAGTTGCTGATACAGTATCTTAAACAGTAATACCATATTAACAGCCCTGAAAACATTGTTAATGTTTCAAAAATAATTATTTAACCTTTTTTGTGTACAATAAAGATTGAGAAATCATGTCAGCCTTGTTTTCAGTGTGTGTGTGTCCCTATGGTATATACTGCACACAGAATATCATAAGTGGAGATTGAAGTGAGTTTGATCTGGTGTGCAGTTCAATCATTAATTTGACCTCCTTGGTGATCCCGCCATCTGGTTAATCAGCTTGTCCCTGCCTCTCTCTGTCTTTTACAGTACTCACTGCAACAGGAGGTCCAGAAGAAGCCACTGCCTTCTGCTGCCTCCCAGTGCTGTAAGTCTAAATTACATCTTATGTGAACCTTATGAACCTACACTTGTATTTCTGAGTGTCAGGATTGCTTAAACGCAGAGGGAAAATGCAGTGCATCATCACTTACAGAGCAGCTCTGGAGTCAAATGTGTTCTGATGCAGCTGATGTGCTTGTGCAACATGACTTCATAACCCAGACGTGCACAGGACAGTTTTGGTTCTGTTAAGAAAATATAGAATGGAGGATGTCCTGTGCAGAGACTGTGGAAAAAGACGCTTGGTTAGGCTAATAGCACACACAGTCTGGACTGTTTTATACATGCAGCAACAAAACAGCATAAACCTGAACCTGGAACTCTTTGTAGAAAGCCTATATTTTCTTGCTTAGATTGGGAAGGCAATATGAGCATAGATAGCTAATTTAACTTAGAAAATTGACACCCTATTTTCTTATTTTTCTTTGTTTGATTTGCTTGTTTTCTTTTGAGTTGAATACAGCTTCTTTTGTTCTTTAACCTTCAGTAGTTACCTGTAGCACTTCAGTACCTTGAGTATCACAGGTCTCCAACCCTGGTTCCTTAGTCACAGATTTTTTTTTTGTTTCTGACAAACTCTCAACATGAAGCAATTCAGTCATTTAAATTTTTCATTAGCTTGTTACTTCCAGCATATAGTGCCTTCCAAATGTATTAATACAGTGAAGTCTAAAACTCATTTTCATTGTGAAATATAATAATTGTTTGCATTGTGAAAAACAGGACTGCTAAGCACAACTCTTTTACGTATTTTGGACAAATTGATAACATTGAACTTTGAACATTTATTTGAAGGAGCAAAAGTATTGAGGCAGTTGGCTGACAGGTGTCTCTTGTTTGCCAGGTGTTTGTTGTTGGGTAATTAGGCTCATAAAACAGCTGTGAGCATCCTGTCAACCTGTTTCACTTTGACTTCAGTGCTGGGAGTCTATAGTAAGAAGTCAAATTGAAAACAAACAAACTTTCTCTTAAAGAAAAGCAGACAATATTTAGACAATATATCAGATCATAGCACACAGTTTGGGCATATGAAAGCTGACAATTCGGGACATGATGCAGAATTCGAAAAAATGGACTGAGATGGCAGAACTTTACAAGCTACATCCCAAGAGGTAAACATCTCAGGATGAAGAGCATAAAATTGTCTTGGAAGTAGAAAAGTGAGTCAAGACAATTTTGGGGAAAAAAAAGTTCTATGGACATAAGATACCAAAATAAACCTTTTCCAAATGTATGGAAAGGGTAAAGTGTGAAGAAAGAAAGGAACCAGCTCATCTGTGAAACATGGTGGGTGTCATGTCATGGCCTGGGCTTATACAGCCGCCTCTAAATCTGGCTCACTCACAGTAGTGATGATGTAACTAATAATGGTAAGAGTGAATGCTTACATTTACGGAAACCTTTTACCTGCTCACTGTATGTAGAAGAACATGCTTCCAGACATATTGGGCAGCACTTGACCATGCAGCATGACCAAGACCCCAAAGAAGCAAAGAGTTCATCAGACGGAAAAAAAAAGGGGGAAAATCTTGGACTGGCCCAGTCGATCTCCATATTAAATTGAAATACAGTGAAGCATGTATTTTACGTGTTGAGGTAAAAATAGACAGAACAGCCTAAGAGCTCAAAACTGGCTGAAGCCAAAGCCTGGAAAAACATCTCAAATGACTCCACAAAGTTTGGTGAGCTCAAAGTGTTGCAGAATGAATATAATTACTGCCTTAAATCAATATGCAAACAATACTGATTTTTCCTCTCAGATGTTTGCTTACGGTGGACATGTCCCAATACTTAAAGTCACAACTTGTTTTTGAGTCCGGAATTATCCATACTGTAATATATTGTACTTATTCATATTAATCTCATAATCATAAATAGAAGTCGCTTAACTGTTTTGACTTTGCTGTCCCAATACATTTGGCAGGCCCTATACTGTGCCTTAAGGACTGGGACTCTCTAGGTGGAGTAGAGTTCTTCTCTAGGCCTGTCTTGAGTTGATCCACCAAGAACTGAAACATGTTTTAAATGCATAAATATGTTTAAATGATTATGTTTAGCCCAAAATGTGTCTTACTACTTATGGAAAAACTGGGTCATCAAAAGAAACCTTGAACTAATTCTAATTCTAATTTTAGCTAATTTTTAAAGCTAAATTTGAGTAAATGTAGCTAAACAGTACAGAAGAAATCTATAAAACATTGTAGTACAAGAGCAGACAGGTTCCTTTGTTCACAGTGGCTGTACTGTACAGTACGTCTACTGCTTCACTTGGCAGTTTAGTGTTGGGAGGGCTGGATGTTGCACAGATAAGCAATGTTTCTCACCACCACTAGATGACACCCTCTCCTTTCTCTATCATCTCTGTTGAAGGGAGGCAAGCTACTGTATATGAGAACAATTGCAAGAAAAAAATTGGCTTGTAGTCCTGCTATGATGAAAAAAGATTTTTCATGTTTTTCACCTACAGTATACCTTCTCTTTTAACATCCCTGCTCTGTGCTGCATTTTTTGCTTTTTTAGCCCCATGTACTGTATAATCATTCTCTATTGTACATACAGTATGTTGACATTGCACTAAGAACAGAAGCTGAGTGGAGACATACTGTACCTGTCTCAAACCTGAAATAAACCTGAGTAGGGCAAGGTTCCTTTTTCAAATTGTCTAGAGATTGCATAGTACTTTATTTTAGGTTTGTTCATAAGCTGTTCCATAGTGTCATGCTGCATCCTAATAGCATCTGAAAATCATTGCAAAAAGTGTGTGAAGGAGTACAATTTGTACATTCACCATTCAAGAATGTTGTCTCATGTAGCAGGCTCCACACTTTTCTCCATCAAGACAGAATTTAGTATTGGTGTAGTTGTCAAGTCACCCTGGCAATGCAAAAAAGTGCAGAGAATGTCTTTAGTCACAACATTTTATTTATTGGAATACTTTTAGGCATATATGTCAAGCATTGACAAATTGTTGCCTCCAACAGCAAGCTAGAGAGTACTCTTTCATACATTTTGCTAGAGCAGTTTTAAAACAAGTAAGACAAGTTTTTTATGAACACATGCTGTTGTGAGTTACGGTAATTTCAAATTTCACTTTTTTAATGAAGGCTGTGTGCATCCTGACAGTTTTGTCAATTATTAAATTATTTAAGTCGATTTGAAAATAATCCTCAAAGTCAGCTGCAGTGTCATCAACCTGTCAGCATCTTTACCTATAGTAAAGACAAATTCCTAATGCACAAAAACTGTATATGGCCAATAAAGTGATCTTACAAATAAGCAATAGTAATATAGCAGAATAAACAGAAAATATATACAATATCTATTGAGACTTTGAAAGTCAGTGAGTATCAATGTTTTACAATGTGGTATTTGTACAGACTAAAAACACATCCCACTTTTCACAGGAAGTGTGCTGCTCTAAATGGCAGCTTGAGTCTCTTGTCAGTTTTCTGATACTGCACAGTTGCGCAGTGTTTAGCATTGCTGCCTCAAAATGCTGGGTTCAATTCCGGACCCGGGGTGCTCTCAGTGTGTTTTATCTGCTCCCCCTGGGTTCCTCCAGGTGCTCTAGTTCCCCCCAGCAGTCCAAAAACACACTGGTACTGTAGGTTAATTGACTTCTGGAGAAACTGGCCCCGGTGTGGGTGTGCCCTGTGATGGACTGGACCCCCATCCAGGGTGAACCCTGCCTTGCACCTGTTGCTTGCTGGGATGGGCTCTAGGTCCCACGTGTCCCTGGATTGGATAAAGTGGCTATAAAATAGATGGATCATCCATAAAACTACAAATAGAACAAAACGAAAATAGTTACAGACATGATATGCAGAACACTCAGGTTTAAAGTGCCGTTAAAGAGCACATTTAAATACTTGACAGTACTTTGCTGGAAAGAGACATTCCTTTCACTTTGCTCTTCTCTAGTCCTTGTGATGAGGACACTCCAGGCTCTGTAATACATGGTATTTTAAGCACAGTGCCACAGAGGACCTCTGCACACTGCTCATATGCAAGTGGGTGTGCTTTCTCCATCTGAATCGCTTCACATACTGTACCCATGTTCCATATGCAGTACATCTTCATCCGTGTCAGGACTACTCCATTTGTATGCAGTCAGGAAGTGCTTTCTTCTGACCTGTAGTTAGCGGTAATTTGACATGGATGCTCTGAGCTGGGCAGAGTGGAGGGGCAGTCACAGAGAAACACAGGAACCTTCCCCCTCCACCTTCAGTTTTGATTGAAGTCGTGTTTAAATCGATTGTTCATTCATTGTTCCATGGTTCATATGTGGGTGAAGCAGCTGGACGTAGTAGAGTAGTTTATCGCCATATGTACACGTACATTGAAATTCTTAATCACGCTGATCTCTCGGGACATAGTGCAATAGACAAAACCACACAGTGTAGACAACAGGAACAATAAACATGTTGTGGGAAAATAAATAAATGTGTAGTAGTGACACCAAAAAAAAAAAGAAGTGTGTAGTGCAGATGTGTTGTGTATTAAGGCCCTGCAGTCAGCTGTTGAGGATGTGTTCTGCAGTGGAATAGAAGCTGTTCTTGTGTCTACCGGTCCTCGCTTTAACAGTGAGGGGGAAGTGATGCATTGCTTTTTTTCTCATTGCTGCTTAACATACAATTTCAGCACAATCTTTGAAAAGTGTCTTAATTCTTGTGTTTAAAATTTATGCATGTGTGAATGCCTTTTGTGTATTGTATATTGAAACTTGACTTTTGATCTTCGAAGTGCTAAAATGACATTCTGACTTCCAGAATATATTTCTTAATTCAATTATCTGAAAGGAATATATTCTAAGATCTTTGTATTTTTTGCCCCTTGTTTGTTTCTATTTTTATTTTTTTTTTGTTAACATTTGCATCCAAACCAGGCAATTGGAGTTATTTCGGATGGGGAGAGCAGCAGAGTATGTAACTCTTCTTCTTTCTTTCTGCAAGTGCCCTGGCAGCTCCTAAAGTACCTCTGCATGCTCCAATCTGATAAAAGTACCTCAATCACTGAGGATATTCATGCATAGAGGGGTCTTTTCTGCTTATCTCTCGCTCATCTTTTAACTTCATCCTCATCTTTCTCCTGAGTTCAAGATCATTTTCATTCTTCTGTAAGAAAAATAATTATTCTTAAAGCTAAGGCTGTTTTCTTTGAAGACACCAGCTGCTTTTATTGATTTCAGGGAGAGTTGTAATAGTGATTTTTTAAACTAATGAACCATATTTCTCTGCTTATTGTACATTCATCTAAAGAGACACACAATACCAGCTTAACTTGTTTTGTCTCTTTTTCCATCCGATGTTCTGTTATCTATTTATGTCCTCTTTCTTTGGGATTAGCTATTTGGCAGTATTGAATATTGTAAATTGCAACACTTAAAAAAAGCATGCATGTTGAACCCATCTGCCATAAAATTAGAGAAATATCAAGAAAGGTACCTTTTGTACAGTAATTTAATGTAGTTTAATCTTATGAACAAATGTGAGACAACTAAATAGGTGACCAATTACTTTGGATGGGAACTGATGTCACCAACAGTCACTAAGAAAGAATTTCTTAGTGAGCAAGAATGAAAAACTAAATTGTCCAGGAGTGACCTGTTAATAGAATGATTTGAGTGAAAGACCCACATTCATTAACTTCGGGTGACTCCCAGGCATATTCTTCAGTGAAATTGGTGAGGGCTTAGTGTTTAAAATTCATGCCTGAGGCTCTAGCCCAGCTCCCAAAACATTACCATCATAAAGGAAACAGGCCTTGGAGTCTGAACATCACTTTACTTTAAATAGAACAAGGAAATCTTAGGACACGTATTCTAGTCTTATTTTCTAAAAGTTTAGAAAATGGGATGTGGTATTTAGAATAACAGCATAAATCACTTCTCGATGTCCCCCCCCACACACACACACTCTATACTTCACTGTTTCTCTAGTCTGTTTGTGTTTGCTTTCATTTCCAATGCAAACGTCCTAAACTTGGACCAAATTCATACTTTTGACCATTCCTTCAGGTATTATCTGCCAAATAAAATCTCTCCGGTGCCTCACAGCTGCTGACTAATTACCCGTGTGGATAGGCTTCTATAGCTTCTAACAGGAAGAGCTTTTTCTTAATTGGACAGCTGTCATTGGAATTCATCTCAATACAGTCCAGTACATGCTTTAATATTTGTGTGTTGACCATTGGTCTCTGTTTGTGGGTGAAAACAACGTATAAAAACAAGCCTGCATGTCAGACGAGCATACTTTTAAGCCAAAGAAATAATTAAGGCAGTGATTGCAACATCTAAACATCATTTAGTGAGGGTTAAGGACATTAAGTTAAACTGGCCACAAAATGTTATGTCCTGTCTTTTCTCATTTCATTTTTGTTGAGCTCCTCCTCATGCTCTTTTGTTTGTTTGTGAAGGCCCCTGAGGGCTGTATGCATGAATATTGTAACTATTTACCAAGGTGAGCATGCGTGTCCCCCTTCTCCCAGCCAGCCCTAACCTCTGTGACCCAGTGGCCCTGAGAGCATCTACACAGAGAGGAAATCACAAGGGGCACTGCCTTTCCTTGTTACAGTTCAGAGGCTGGAAGACCACAAAATTGTCTGTATGCATTTGCGTGAATGTGGGTGTGTGTGACATACAGTACAGTGCAGCATGCACCATGATCAAAAAATAAATTTGCTCTTGCTTTTTCATGCATTTTTCTTCTCCTCCCCCCCCTTTAATTCCTCTGGATAAATTGCCTAATAAATGTCTTAATCATAAAGCATTGGGAAAGAATTTTAGAGATCTTCTTTAATCTCTCAGAAGTGGCATTCCTTTTACAAACATACAGTAGCAGAAAAGATACTGTGACTATGCTTTTCATGTGACTCAGTTAATAGCTTCCTTCACTGTGAAATCTAAGCACAGTTACTACTGTTCACTTCATTCTAGGAGACCTCATTTACAGAATGCTGTTATTTGTAAAATAAGAGTTATTTAGAAACATAATTTGTCAGTTAATTATAATGTCGGCTTATTAAATTTATATTAAGCATGGTACAGTATTTACAACAGGACTGTGGTGAATGTACATAATAATTATTGAAAAATTAGGCATTGTTGGCAAAGAAAGTATTTGGGTAAATGTGCAGAAAAATGTATGAAAATGAAGAGATCTACTGCAAATTATTTTCTTGCTACTGTGTATTGATATTGTACAGTAGTGCAATGTTTGTGAGGTATTTAAAGTGGGAATTCAATGAGTCAGGATGTGTTTGTTAACTTGTTAGTGTGTGACAGTGTGTAGAAATCCAATTTCTTGCAAAAAAGCAAGTTTTTTGCTTTACCTTTTGACTTAACACTAGTATTCTATTTTATATGCACTCTGGATTCTGGAATTTCTGCTTTTTCCCCAACTTGTATTAGTGCTATAAGTCCTGTAATTCATAGGGAGAATAAGGACTTGTGGACACTCCCACTTGTTCAAGCCATTTGTCCTCTGGACATGCTGAAAGCTCCACAGTGCCATACAGGAGAGTTAACACTGACTGGAGGACAGCTGTAATGTCCACTGATGTCACTGTAAGCCTGCAAAAGTCCAGCAGGTCACCAGAGTCACCGTGTTGTGTGCAGTGGTGCCTTGTAAAGTGAAGCACAGAATAATATAAAGTGAGCTTTGAATTCCCTTTAAGCCCTTTCTATAGATTAAATGGAGTGAATGTTGTCTCTGCTTGTTCCCACAAAATGCTCCAATCATTTTGTGGGAACAAGGTAGGTTCCTAGCTAGGTACAAGCTAGGTACTATTTCAGTGGCAGTAGGAATTCAGTCTTTTTTCCCACAAAAATGTCCCCTGCGCCTACGTATGAATAAGAGACCGCCCGGAAACCACAATCAAAGAAATAAGCTTGTAAACCTGCAGCATTGCGTTGTCCGATTCAGACCTTTCAGGCACTTTCCCTCCTCAGTCATCATTGGGTCTGAAGCAAAGGGTGGACTGAGAAAAAGAAAGAGGCAGGGAACCTTGTGATTGACGGATTGTCAGCCGCGTTCGAATGTGAGTCATTTGAATTCCCTTTGCCGAGTGGCTTGGTGGTTGTTGGGAGGTCTGGGAATCCCTGGCCAGCTCAAGCCCACCCAGTACTTCGGCCATTTTTGTTCCAGAGCACAGGGAGGTCTGGTCAGTCTTCTGAACTTTTATTTTAAGAGCGCAAACCTGTAAAACGTTTGGAAGCTCAGTGCTTGCAGCGGAGTTGTTTTCACTTTTGGTTTTCAGGAATGTTTCTGCATGGAAAAAGGGTTTCCACCTTTATGCACCTGCAATGCTTAATAGGAGACTTATCTAAAATACCAAAGAGTTTTAAAAAACTCTCAACCTATTTTTTTTTCAATTGGTTATTTGTTAACTTAAATTTTGAACTGACTGAGGTAAGAGATGGAGTTAAAGTGGACTATAGGTGTGTTCTACTTGAATTATATAATGATATAGAATCTTTTCTTTTGGAGAAGCAGTGAGTGTGTGTGAAGTATGTGTGTAGGATTGGAATTGTGGTCAATGTATGACGTTAGTCTTCTGGTCTGATATTTTTGACAAAACCAAATTATGAAATCCTGATAATTTAATACAGTTTTCTGGGGGCCTTATTGGCAATGCTATTATTTACCTGGGTGTTTTTTTAAATTTGAACCACAACCATAATGCTCGTGCTACAGTACCTTTAACTCTATCCCAAGCCATAGAACTAACCACATATTTTGCTGAAAATGCACTCAGGTACATACTAGTGTTTGCTGAGCTGATAACTACAACATGACCTTTATTCGTCATGTTGGTTTTTGTGTTTATGGTAGCGCTACTGTTGAGACTGCACTTCTGGAACGGAAATGGTGCTAATTCATAACTCACTAGTGCAAAGATTTCACTTTTGAAAATAATTTGTGATTAATCATGACAAAGAACAGACTAAAAGATGAGTCTGATTCCATGCAAAATTGATTTCTTTGTGCTAAAAACCACCTGTTTTAGAAGAAAGCCCCTTATCTTTGTTAAGTGTGCCAGTGTTTAATACCCACTGTTAGAACACTGTTGTTTCTAAGAGAAAACATTGGTCAAGAGTCAGAGGCAAGGCTTTAGAATTGGACTTTTAAAAAGCTTCTCTTATTGGTTTTCCTGCTACGAACTGTAATAAAACATTTCAGCCTGTTCCAAGCTCCTTGTACCTTAAATAAAAAAGATAAATTAAAATTACCTCGATCCCCCTACTGTTGCCTTTCCTGGTATTAACAAGGGGCATTAGGTTTAGCTTGTAAACCAATGTTGGCCATTATGTGGATTTTTTACATTATAACTAAAAGGGGTTTTGAATCAGACTCCTCAGGGTAAGTATTTTCATACTAAAGCATGGCCTCTTCAGTCCCACACATATCAGTACAATACCGTAACTTCCATCCCCAAACTGGAATCTCACAACCCTAATGCAAGTGTAAGACTAATTGACTTGTGAATCCATATGAAACCCAGTGATGTTCTGACATTCCTTGGTAAATAATTTCTGAATTAATTACATTTTAAGTTTCATCAATTGCACCCTTAGACACATTTTTGTAATTATTAAAATGCTGTATGGATTTTGCCTGAAATCTTATTATCCACTGTATTACTACAGTATGTAGTAATTGTGGTTTTTTTAAAAGATGCAAAGCCACAGTTTATATTTCCAGAACCATGAAAAAGAAAACACTTTAAACTTTTTAAAAATATTGATAAAGCCTTTATCCTTCTTTTTTCCAGTTGTTTTAGCGATCTATGCGTTGAACCCATTGCTCTGCAGGAGATATTTTTCTGTCTCATCTGCTTTTTTAGTAAAAATCTTTTACGGCCGCCTGCTCTGTTGCTGAATCCTTACTGAAAAATAATCTCACGGATGAATAATTCTTAATCGGCTGACTAAATGCAGGCAAAATCTTGCAGTTTCCTTTTTAGCGAGGCTTTTCAGTTCGGGTGGATGAGGGGGGCGATGGCGGCGTTGTGTGTGGATGTGGGGAGTGAATGCGCGCACCGCGTGTGTGAAACAACGAGAGGTGGAGAAGGGCGTGTGCCCAGCTGTGTTTCGGAACTACTCTTTCCCCCTCCCCCACCGGCAGCCCTCGAAGACCACGACAGTGCGGTGGATGACCGGGACAGCGATTACCGCAGCGAGACCAGCAACAGCATCCCCCCTCAGTACCACACCACGGCCCAGCCCAACTCCTCCCTGCACCAGTACCCGGTGCCGCCCCGGCTGCAGCACCAGGCCGACTCCCGCGAGTCCTGCGCCGACTCCATGCAGAGCTACGACTTGGACTACCGCGAGCGACAGGGCGCCAGGTACCCGAAGCACTGCCGCACGGACCTCTTTCCTTCAGTCCCCGGAGGGCCTTATCCAGCAGCCTTTTCCTCCATTCAGTTTGTCAGCTTAAGTGAAGATTTTCCAGTGCGTTAATGCTTATGTGTAATCAGTAATGTCTGCTCCCTGAAATGAGGTGCAGCCAGAATCCCATGCCCTTGTTTTCTTGAAGGCATGGATGTCAGCGACGGTATTCTATCAAAGGATGCCTAGTAAGCATCTGAGATTACAAGGATAGAAATAAGGCCTCATGTGCCATCGTAGCACAACCCCACTAAGCTTAAGCTACCATACATTTTTCAGATTTCAGATGTTTTTTCAGCTTCAGTAAAATGTAGGATTTCCATTTACATGCAGCTGTGCCTTCTTGTTCATCTCCCGTTTTTTTTTCTTTGATGTTTAGTTGAGCCATTCACCGAGCTTGGCTTACCATTTCCTTGGGATTGTTGAAGGTTAAAACATATCCGAAAGAAAGATGAAAAGGGGGAATAACTTCCTAAAGATGAGCAACGTTGTGATTAAGTTCCGTTATTTTTTTTTCGTACAAGCGTAACAAAAGACAGTGTCCCGAGTTTAAAACATAACAAATGTTACAAACAAGAGAAGGCTATTTGGCCCATCTATCCCATTTGACAGTGGATAGGTGCTTTACTGTGCAGTGAGAAGAACATGCAGTTGGCAGAACTCAATTGAAGGCACTGCCTTTTCAAGGTCTTAATCTAACCATGAGCTAGGTCCACATACTTCGTCTCTTCACACGACAATGTGGATGTCCGGAACCAGAAGGCTTATGAAGGTTGTTTTGCACAGCATGTCTGAATAGAGAGTGGCTATACCGAACCTGTGACATGAGCTGATGTGTTGAGGGAGCAAGACTGCTAGTGTAAGACAGCATTATGTGTGAGTGCATGTTCTCAGTGCAGAAAGATATGACTAAAAGCCCCAGTTTCCGTGATGCTGAATCACTGTACACAGTACTGCATACAGTACATAGCACTGTGTAGGTAAGGGAAGAGTGAAAGGTGGGGATTCTGGAGGATGTAGAAAGGGGCAATTTCTATTTGAATCTTCATGTCTTAACCTTTAATGATAAGAATTGAGGCCTACCAACAATTAAATTAAATCAGCTGCCATTTCTACTTGAACAGAAGATGGGTGGTAATCAAAATTACTGTCATTTTCTGAGTTTGTCTTCAATTTAATCATTTTTTTTCTCTGATAAGTTTGGGATATACTGTAGGAATTTCGATCAACACTGAACTCTATAGTTCCTGCTGTTAATATTTGTATTCTGTCAAAAAATCTTAATTACTTTTGTTTTGTAGTTCAGGGATTGGGGATCAGTTCATGTTAGTCTGGAAAAAATGTTTTTTTTTTTTTAAAGACATCAGTTCTAATCAGTTTTAAACACATATGTGATATTTGTATCTACAGCTGCAAAAACATAGATTCCATTTGGTGAGACTGCTAGGGAGCATCTTTCTGCCAGCTTATTGTATAGCCAAGCTCTGAACAGTTTAATGCAGGGGATTTCTCTGTCTGGGAGCCAAGAACCAAGAAAATAAACTGGATTTGCTCTATTACGCAAGTGTGTTATACGAGCACTTAAGGGAAGCTAATGAACTGTTACAGAGCTCAATCTGTTTAGACAGATAGGGTGCAGATCTGTTTCTAATGAAGGAAGAAATGTTGCATTTCATTGGGAAAGGATGCTAGGTTTTGAATCTGAGTGCATACAGTATGTGTGGTATAATTGGGTAATTTCCTAAATGTGTAATTAGGAGCCTCACTTTTCAATTCTGTTTCAGCAGTCAGAGTGTAGTGTGACACAAAGTTTGGAAGCCCCAAATATTATATATATAATATTAATTACACAACCAGGTAATCTACTGTATAAATGGAAAATATTCAAGACTGTACCCAGAACCCCAGCTTAGCATCTAAGGATCTGCAGGCTTCTCCTGCTGCAGCTAATGTCAGGGTTTATGGCTCAACCATCAGGAAAAGACTGAAGAGGAATGGTTGTCATAGGTGGATAGCCAGGAAGAAACCATTGCTCTACAAAACGAACTCTGATGCCCTTCTCAAATGTGCAAAAGCGCAGCTACAGCAGGTGTTCCACAGAGTAATGGAAGAATGTTCTCAGAACAAAAAGGTTAAGAATGTAACTTTTTGTCAATAATGAAATATGTGTTGGGTGGTGAACACCTAAAATTCCAGAACGTCACCCAGACAGTCTAGCATGGTGGTGGGAAAATAATGGTTTAGGGCTGCTTTGCTTGCTCAGGACCCAAATGGTTTGCTGTAATTAAAGAAACTATGGATCTAGCGTTTTATCCTCAAATTCTGGAATGCAAATGTCAGGCCATCCATTCATCAGCACAAGCTATACCGATAGTGATTCATACAGCATGACAGTGATCATAAATAAGTTCAAGTACTGTGAGCAGCTGCATCAGCATGCGTAGGCTGGAAAGGAACAGGTTAAGGTTTATTACATGCTGTAAGAAAAACAAGAGACATAACATTTTGGCTGTGGAACCTTCTTTAGGTATAAGGGAAAGAGGGGATCAGCTGTAAGGATTAAAGATCTCTCCAAAGTCATAGTTTTCCATTTCACCTCTAATGGCTATGATCATACTGATTTCTCCATCTACCTCCTCTCAGAGGGGTTTCAGAACTGCTCTTACAGAAAGATATCTGAAACCAAAATTATCCTGAAACTAGGACCTTGTTCCTTCCCTTAACGACAGACTTGTCTCCTTCTAATCCTCTCTGTTCATTTGCAGGTTTTGACTTCACACCTCTCTTCCAGTTCTCCTAGAGTGTTGATACTCCTTCAACTCCTGCTCCCGTCCTCCTCTCAACTACCCTGTCTTGTGTTCTCCCATCCTTTATGAACTGCCAGTTTCCCTCTTTCTCTCACACCTGAAGAAGGCTCTGCTGCCGAAAGTCTCTTTTCTTCTCCTTTCAGCCTGGAATAAACTTTTACCTTTACCCGGGTTCCACGATCATAAATATACAAGCCTGTCTGCAACAGAACAGCTGAAAAGAAATTTCTCATTTTGGATTAGTCAAGTGAAAGTCCGTATCTCAACCCATGAAATGGAATAGCAGTACCTGAAGCAAGCTGTTCATGCACGGAAACCCTCAAATGTCATAAACGTGAAGCAGTTATTGAATCCAAGGGTTAACATGTAATAATCCGATGCCGTGGCTGGGACTAGAAGCTTATCTACTGAATGACGTGTAGAGTGAACCCATGTACTGGCCGAATGGCACATTGGACAGGTAAACCTGCAGGCAGCGCGCACACAGTGAACTGTGTAGGTAGTGCGCACACAGGGAACTGCGTAACAGCTATACTTTGCACTCAGTTGGCATGGTGCTGTAGCAGGCTACGAAACCAAGAAGTAAGTAGTCCAAGTTCTCCAAGTAGTCCTACTCAGGTGGGGATCAAATCTAGTGAATCACAAAGCAAAAGCACAGAGAAGGTATCTTGAGGGTGGTCGGGGTCAGCGAAGAGCGCGTCATATCTGGAAACACGTAGTAGCACAGCACAATGTCCAGCAGACAAGGCAAGCGGGGTCCAGGCCGAGATGAACACCATAGAGATGTCAAGCCAAAGGGTGATCTGGGAATGAGCCGTAAGCAAGAAGTCAGGATTCCAACTAAGCTCAGCAGTGAAAGCAAGGGAGAGACTCAAAGGAGTAGATCTGGATGGGCTCAGAAACAAAACTCTTAAGACACAGCCCCAAACTCGGTCAGATCCAAATTTTTAGTTTTTGTACCACCTGAAAAAGGGCGTTGTCGTAAATCGTCTCTGGGTGGTCCAGGTCTCCTGTCAATTGGCATCCTTGGCAATCAGCTCTGAGAGACAGCTTGGAAAAGATGTAACCTGCTGCTGTGTCTATGCTAGCTCGCCCCACCACGTTTCGGTGATGGTGAGCATGGCAGTACGTTCTTATACCCACAAGGGTATTTACTGTTAGATCACTTAAATAATCCAAATATATGTGTTTTATGTCGTATGTTTACTCAGGTTATCTTAATATTTTATTAAGACATTTAATGGAGATCTGTTTATATTTTTAGAATATACAAAAACATGGACCAACGTAGGGGGTTCATTAACTTTTTTTGTTGGTTGGGGCTCTGTACACTTTCTGGATTAGCATTAAACTGTTTGATTCTTGATTTGGAGAGTTTCAGATATTTTTTAAATACTGATTTTTGGGGAGTATAGCTGTTATAAAAGGAACATTTCAATGTTGTGAATCTGTTTCATTGCAAGTTCAGGCTGCTCGTGTCTCTTTTTGAAATTGACCAGTTTTTGTTTGCAGTGAAAAAAAAACAACAAATAAGGATGAGTTTATTGAACACACATGTTGAGATACATCTAAAAGAGTAAAACATGAAGAACAATTAATCATAAAATTTCCCTCAGGTTGTCACTCTTGTCTTTTTTGGTGTTATGTTCTGTTATGAGCACTGTTTAATGTTTGATTTTTGTGTATATTTGATTTACTTTTTTGTTTTTTTTATTCCTTTCCTATTCTTTTTCTCCTCTCACCCACTTTTCCATCCTTCCATCTTCCCGTTTCTTTCATTCTGTGTCACTGTTTCCTTGGGAAGGCATTGCCCCCCTAACCATAGAGGAAGGGTTAGGATTATCCCGGTAGATTCCGGGATGGGTGTGGAGGACTGGGAAAGTAAATACAAGGGGCTAGGAAAGAATATATTGGAAGAATATCTGGACAAGGAGCCAGAGCAGTGGGAGGGAGAGAATGATAGCAGGAGTGTGATATTCCAAATAGCCAAAGCTTGCAAAAAGCCAAGGGCCACCAGATTCTACCGAAGTGTGGAGTATGAGAGTTTGCCTCCTGCCACATATCCCGAAGAGTATGACACCATAGACAGGAGACGGAGAAAGAAGCTTAGGGATTATGGCAAGAGCAGTGGTGAAATCAGAATGGTGTACGAGGAAGATGGTAGCTTTGAGGATGAGGCTTCACCTCCAGAAATCTCCATCATCCCCTCGGTTCATGTCCAGCGGAGTCGGCACATACTGCAGCAGATGGCGGAGCTGGAAGATGAGAGTGAGATGATGTCCTGCCTACGCCCCTACAAGAATGGACTGCTTTATAAAACAAAAATGTGGGCTAAAAACAAGCTGGAGAATACACTGGAGAACTATGTTGCATATCAGGAGGAGGAAGCAAGGCTGCGAGGCAGGAGTGAATGTGATAGCAGTGGCTCAGATGAATTGCAGTACTCCATAGGCTCAGAGGAAGAGATGGAGGAGATAGCCTCCTTAGCAGAGGCCATTAGTTCAGAGAATGGGGATTATAGTACCCCGGGCTCTGGCCATTTGGATAAGAGTCTAGGCTATAAAGAAAGGAAGAATGGCAAGAACAAAGTGGGGGGATGGGCTCCAGAAGCTGTTCTGTCACCAGTGGAAGAACCTAGTGATGAGTATGTAGACACAATGGATGAGCTGCAGTGTCTGGTAGAAACTGTGTCAGAGTATCTTGCGGAGAAAGAAGAGGAGATCAGCAAATTTGGGACCTTACCAAAGTCGAAAATATCACGACTCTCCTCTCAGAGTAGTACAAGAAAGGATTCCAGTGGGGATGACCAAAGCGCAAGCTTGTCAAAAGATGAAAAACCAACAGACGTTAAGGATGCAAAGTCAGAGACAGGGTCAGATCCTAGCCAAGGAACGACTGGGATGAAGAACGTTGTTAGCTCCCTCTTCAGTTCATTGAGTGAGAAAGTTGGCTCGGGCACAAAGCAGTTATCCACATCTGTAGAGAAGCTGGTTATAAACCAAACGGCTGAGAACCCTGTGCCCAATGCTACACCTGAATCTGGTATCTCCAAGCTCTTCGCCTTCATTCCAAAATCTAACAACACAACTCCAGTTGCAGTGGTTCCACCTGCTCAGGAGCCCCCACCAGATAGGAAATTCTCCTTGCAGTCTTTATTGCCCTTCCAATCTTCTGATAGAAAGGTAGCAGACAGTACAGAAGAAGACAAGCCAGCTGTAGTCACAACTTCTGAAGTCAAAGAAACTCTTGGGAATATTAGTGGTAATAACAGTACTAGCGATAAAGCTCAGGACTCGAACCAGCAAGCATCTATTGTAAGCTCTGTTTTCGGAAAACTAAATCCTTTAAAGCTTTTCACAGATAAACAGCCTGACAGCAGCGAAACTTCATCTGTGGGGGATAACAAAACCCAAGGAAAGAATGAATCCAAGGAGGATCCCCAGGTGGTGGCTGTAGACGTGACTTCACAGTGGAAAAATGAAAAAGGTTTGGTCACAGAAAAAATATGCGAAGACTCACAAAAAGGTGAGACTTTGAAGAAGGACACCACTGTGCCTGTGCCAATATCTGTAAGGCAGCCACATCCCACAAGTGGTTTAAGTATGCTGGACAAAATACTGTATAAGGAAGCCTGTGTTTCTCTGGATCAAAAAACTGAAAATGATTCTAGTCAGACATTTGACCCGGAATCCAAACAATTGCCTGAAGAAAAGAATGTCCCACAAGAAAGTCAGACAAACACTGATGACAAGGCTATCAGTCAGGCAGTTAAAGCAGACTCAGAGGATTCTGGGTTCTTCAGCCCTTTAAAGAAGTCCCTAAGCCAGTTAATATCATCACCTAATGAAAAATCACAAAGTGAGATTCCAACAGGCCCCTCCAAGTTTTCATTATTCAAATCTGCTGAAGATGTCCGGATAGAGAGGACTGCTGATGATCAGCGTTTCTCTATTAGTGGCAAGTTAAAACTTCCATTCTTTTCCTCTGACAATGTCTCATCTCTAGAACCAAAAGACACACATGCTGAAGGAGGATTGTTTGCTGGGCTGCTGAAATTTGGCTCTGGTGAGGATGTCAAAGGTTCTACTGATCAAATTCCCAAACAGAATATTAAGGAACAACATAGGAGTGTGCGTGAAGACTCTTGCAAAGCAGCTGATGCAGCACTAGGGACTTCCAAATCATCATTAGCCACAAATCTTGGTAGTCCAAAAGTTCCTTCCACAAACCGTGGTCGTTTTATTGAGAAAGAACATAAAACGAATACAGAAACGGGTTGGTTTTCCAGCCTTTTCAAAATCACTTCAAATGAAAATATGCCTGCAACACAAATTCAGCACCCGGTCACACCATTGGAAAAGTCCATTCCAACCAACAATAGACTGCCAAACCAGAATATACAGGTATCTAGAGATCAACCCGATCTCCATAATGTGAATGACTTACCACAGTCCAACAGCCAGCCCCCTCCTAAGCAACAACTCAACTGTCCACTTACTAGAGAACAACATTTCCAGGATCAACAACATAGTAAGCTTAGAATCAAAGGGCGACAACAGGAAATCACTAGCCATGGCTCTGTAGGGGACAAGCAAAACACAGCAACATGCCATCAAGAAAATGATCAAAAACATGCTACCCAGAACCAAAGCTTTTTTTCTGGGCTTATTAAATTGGTTTCATCAGAAGATGTATCTGTCATTAATAAACCTACTGCAGAGCGCAATCCACCTCAACATAGTTCTGCACATATAGACCAAAGGCCTAGACCAGCTGGTCAAGGGGGTCTGCTTTCAGATCTTTTAAGATTTGCTTCTTCTGAAGATGTGGCTGCTTCTAGCCAGTCTGTTGCAGTTCACCATAAACAGACACAGCCAAACAGTAAGTGTGGTAGAGGGCCTTCTCAAACACAACTAAACAAACAGCCTTTGATGGAGCAAATCCAGAATCCATCACACCATGGTAAAGTGGACAATGAGAATAAGCCTGCTGGTCAACAGGGGATGATTTCAAGTTTTTTCACATTTGCTTCTTCAGAGGATGTGTCTGTAAACAACCTGACTTCTACAGTGCAAAAGCAACAGCAGCAACAGGTGCAGCCCAGCTATATGTCTGACCAGCCTCAGTCTAAAAGCTGGAAACAGCATGGTAGCATTTACAAAGAAGAAAAACCTGTTGCACAACAAGGACTCTTTTCAGGGTTGTTCAAACGAACACCTGCTGACGAAATGTCTATTGGCAGGCTGGCAGCATCATCTTCTCATCAGGAGGGCATGGGACACAAGCCAACTAACAACAGCACCCCAGGTCTGCTCTCTGGGATTTTCAAGACAGGATCAAATGACAATGCTTCAGCATCAAAACAAGATGATTCAGCTGGCAGAAAAGAAGGACCTCTAAGCTTCCTAAAATTTATGAGCAAAGGGGAAGACCAAATTACTGAGAAAAAGTGTGATGGTGATAGCAGTGTGTTTCAACACAAACCTGTGACCAATCTCACAGGTGTCGTTAATGATGAAGAAAAAAAGGAGGGACCTAGCTTTGGAATCTTCAGTCGTTTTATCCCAAAGCAAAAAAAGGAAGAACAGACTATTCCAGCTTCTACCAGTGCAGAAAGTGTAGATTTAAGGGCTTCTGAATATTCAAAAACACAGCATAGCCAACCATCCTTATCATCTGTTAGCTCTGGACATATGGCTTACACATCTTACTGCCATCAAGGTTTTCAGCCAGATATCCCAACGGTGAGATCTTCCAGCACAGATCATCTTCAATACTGGAAACAAAGACAGCCATCATCTACTATGCTATCTTCACAGAACACAGGGCAGATACAATCCTGGATGGGTACCCAGCAATATCCTCAGGTGACCCACTATGAAAACTCTTCGGTGCCTGAGCATCAGAAATGTCACGTTCAACCATATTCATTAAAGCATAGAGCTGCACTTGTTCATAGCTACGATCAGCACCACCAGGAATCTGCTTCCTGGCACCAGCAGGTCGATGAATATTCTGGGTCTGAAGTGCAATCTGAAAGCCCAAATGTGGAACAAATGCAAAATTTTTACATGACAGGTCTAGAATACAGACAGCCCCCTGATGGAGCCTCTATACTAGAAGCACCACATAGTTTGAGCACCAGTGAAATGGACTCTGCACATTATTGTGTTTCTTCCTATGATGGAGAAGAATTTGTGGATTGCCAGGGTCAAACCAATTTCCAATCCCAGGAAAATAATGGCGAAATATATGACATGAGGTATAAATATGACAGTAGAACAAAGACCTTCCATCCGAATGGACACAAGTTATGGAATAGTTATGACAACCTGACAGATCTATGTCATCAAACTAGGATGGGAGACCATGAAAACTGGACAGAATATGACAATGCTCTGAACTTGAGTGTGAAGAAAGATAATGCAAAACTTAATAGATGGTATTCTCTCAATGAAAGAAGCATCTATGACATGCAAAGTGCTGTATCATGTGATTCCTTAGGATATACTGTTGTCTCATACCAAGATTATTTTGATGAAAATGGACCATGGAATGATAGTTTGCTGTGTGGAGAGTTTAATTACAATGAACCTCCAGAACGCACCAGTCGACAAATTGTTGAAGATGGTCCCATAGACCTGAGCTGCTGTGTTGATGATGGAAACATGTGGTGTTACCATGATAACCAGTTTTCTGTGGATATGGAAGAAAACATGAACATTGAAGAGGCAGAATGGTACCAGCAGTGGCTCTCTCTGCTGGAGCAGGGAATGTGGTGGCCCTCAGAAGATGGTGATTATGGATACTTCATATACACAGATGGAGAGTTTATTTACTCCTTGCTGACAGATGGGGCTGGGCAGAATGTATATGTGTGCACCCCTGAGGAACAGGCTTGGGGGGGATATGGACAGTATGCTGATACCTTACCCAGTGTCTGGCTAGAAAATGAGATGGTTGCTGTTTGTGGATTCAAAGTTCCCTTGTTCAATGAAGATGAACTGTTTTGGTTTCCTGCTGAAGAGCAAGGTGAGGCTGAACTCGTCAGTGCTCCCCTGGATCTCTCTGTAGCCTTCAAAAAAGGTAATCAAATTATGAACATGAATCTGGAGATCTTCTCCCAAATGTTTGAGGACTCCATGTACTGGCAGAGAGAGGAGCCCTTGGACTTCTCTACCTACCGACTACAGAAAATAAGGGTGGATCTCGCACATCAGCATCAGCCAGGATACATGTATGAAGAACCTCAGAGAGAGGCATTTGATCTAACTGTAAGGAAAGGACCTGAGGCAAAGAAAAAAGATGGATTCAAGGAACTGTTTGCTCAAAAGGTCTCTGTATCTTTGTCATCCACATCAACTTCTGAGTCCACTTCCTCAGGGCTGTTTGGGCTTTTCCGCAGTCATTCTAAACAGCCTGAGCCTTCAGAAATTAAAGACAGGTATGTAGATAAAAAGCCAGTTACAGAAGAACAGAGCCAGCCTATACAGAAGATCTCTTCCTTCCTTTCAGCTCTGGGAGATTTGGTTGGAAAAGCTCCCGATTCTGAATCAAATAAAGCTGCCACTGAGTTAGTTACAGTAGCTGCAACATCTGTATCAGTTAGTTCAAAGAAGGGTCCTGGACACACTAGAGATGAGGCATTGTCCTTAACATCAGATAAGAATCGGAAAGAACATTCTAAACCACGTGAACATGAAGTTCTGGATCAACAGCCAAGAAATGTTTTGTCTACAGGCTTTCACAGTCTGAAATCCAAGATCATTAAGGAAGAAGCTCTAGCTGCAACCAGTGTGGCTCAACAAGTAAATAATCAAGTGCCCAAACCAACATCAGCCACTTCTCGAACTTTGCCGACACCACCTACAACAGGTTTGGCATCTATGTTGGGTCTTGGCTCAGGGCGCAGTGAACCACAAGCTTCATTTAGTGAGAAGCCAACTCCTGCACATTCTAGTTTAGCATCCCAGCCCACCAAGCCAATGGAATCATCTCAAACAGCTGACCCCAGCTCCTTTTTCAGAAACCCATTGAAAATTTTCAGTGTTTCTGATACTCCTTTGCATGACAAGCCAGCTGAGAAACCCCAGGGGTCAGGATTTCTGGGATTCTTCAAAGCAGCAGTAGGGATAGAAGAAACAAAGCCCGAATCTCCTAAACCTTCTGAAACCCGAGGAAGAGTACCAGAGAGAAATGCTGCTGTCGGTAGTAATGCAACTGAGAACAGTGGGATTTCTTCTCTTTTTGGGTCAATTGGTGACTTTTTTAAAGTTGATCCCCCTCCATCTCAACCGGAGCCTGTGAAGCAGCCACAGACACATCAAGAATCTGAGCAGCAACAAAAATCGAACATGATTAAAAATGACATGAATAAAGACCCCATGATTCCTGTGTCACACAACCAAGAGGGGTTTAATGAAACTTTGCATAATAAACATCAGGGACCCTCAAGACCAAAGGGTCTGCGGAAGCAACAAACTTTTGGTGGAATCGGAGAGGTTGCAATGCCTGACGTAGGTGGCACATCTCCATCTGACCAATCTCTGGGTCTAGGAAGAAGCATGTCTCAAAACTTTTCCTCCATTGCCAGTCCTTCCAAGCCTTCAGAGAGGTCAAAGACAATGCATCCTAGCGAACCAAGACCTTCTCCAACAGGACAGGACAAGCATGAGCCTCACCCCAAGCAAACAGGTGGTTTGTTTGGCTTCTCTCTTGGGGATATGCTCTCTGGAACATCTGCCTCTACAGAAGAAGCTCCTGGTAAAAGCTTCTTTTCATTCTTCAGTGGAAGTAGTCCCCAATCTGCCTCCAGTCAGACCGGTTCTGCAAATCCTCCAAATGCATCACCTAAACAGCCACCTGTGGAATCAGAAGGACTTTTCCGACTTCCTTCTTTTTTGTCTCTAAGTGCTGCATCTGGCGAGAATAAACCCAAGGCAAGTAGCTCAAGTTTCAGCCTCTTCGGCATGTCTTTGATTGATGAGAAAAAGCCAGATTTGTCCACTGCTCAGATGCATTCTGGTACACCTCTCAACAAGAAAGCAAATAGCAGTGTAAGTAAAACCACAACTAAAGAAGAACTTGACTTTATGAACTCTGTGCTTGGTACTGGACCTCCACAATCTAAGCATGAAACTCCCCCTGTTAACCTTGATAAGCAGAATACTGAAGCTGACCTTCCAAATAAACAGCACATCCTGTCTTCAGAGCAGTCAGCTGCTATTTTAAATAAAATAACTGATGAACATACTCTGAAGAGTTTTCCTGGAAAGACCCCAGTATCCAATGAAAACAAGCCGAGCAGTGAACAGTTTATTACTCAAACCCACGATCGTCCTGTAAAAGATGTTACCCTAGCGCCTCCATCTGAAAGTACTGTTGAAGTTGACCATGGCAATGGACAGTATCAGGATTCTAGTACACAAGAGAAAGAGGCAGATTTAACTGAAACACAGTTAGAACGACATATGTTCAAAGAGGCAGTGATCCCATCATCTCAAACCACTTCTTGTGAGGCAGGACTGGACATAATAGAGAATGTTTCTGTGCTTGACCAAACAATGCAAGAGCCTCTTAAGGAGCATGTTGCATCAGTGAAACTTAAACCAACTGTTCAGCCTCAGTCCTCTCCTAGAGAAACAAGACATCCCAGTCCTTCCGCATGTCCACGAGGAGCTGCTAAACCCCCTGAGCCAGAGAAATCAGTGCTTGACTCTTCAGTTGAAATGTTTTCTGGCTTTATGTCCAGGATGAAATTATTTTCTGAAGCACCAAACACTCCAAAACGTTCCTCTGGTTTTTCCAATTCTTCTCAATCTTCAATGTTCAGGTCTTCTCCGAGTTCCTCACCCCAGCAGCAAGAGAAAAGTTCATTTTTCAACCTTCCCGGGAGCCTTCCTACTGAGTCTCTAAAAAATGAACTTTTTAGTATCTTTAAAATGCCTGGTGACAAACTTTCAGAAGCAGATAAAATGCCAGAGACCAAAGTCTCTGAGGTAGCCAAGCCCCATGGTGGTGTCCAAGATGTTGGTGAATTGAAACCATATTCAACAGAAAAAAACAAGGAAAGAATAATGCTTGAATCTTTTGCTGAAGAAACAAAATCATTTGAGGAATCGGATTCTATGCCTTCAGAATGTGCAGTACTTACAGAAGAAAGAAACGTTGCTATAGAGAGTATTATAACTCCAGTTTGTGAGGAAATCGAACATAACCATATTCCATCTTGCTCTCAAGATGACATAGGTTTGGAAACTATAAAAGAAGAGCGAAAGTTTGAATCATTACCAGAGGTGTTGCTAGAGGCCACCCCAGCAGACAAAAGCATGGGAACAGAAGTCATAAAGCCACCTGATGAAAGAGTGGTTCCGTATGCAAAAGAGACCGAAGGAATGTCAGTTCCAGTTGTCACATATGAAGCTGCTGAGGAGCTCAAAGTCACAGTAGAAGAAATATTTAGTTTGCCAGAAGGAGAAGCCACACATCTGGGTAAAGAGAGCATTCAGGCGAACATTTCACTTCAAAGTGCCCAAAAGACTCCTAGCCCAAGTAAGCAGTCAAGTGCAGAATCACTTCCAGGCAAGTCCCTCTTTGACATGACAGGTTTATCCACATCCAAATTAGGCTTCATGTCTTCTGGGGATAGTGGAAAAACATTCGGGTCCTTCTTCTCTTCACCATCCACGCCTACAGTTATGCCACAGAAGGAAGGAGGCCTACTGTCTGGATTCAAAAACTTCTCTACAGGACTATTCCAAGAAGACAAAGCTGCTACAAAGGATGGAATGTCTGTTTCTTCGATGTTTGGGAAAAAGATGGACTTTGGCTTCCCTTGGCAGAAAGAGAGCCATGAGGCATCTAAACCAGGGGCTCCTGTAGTCACCTTACAACCCACAGCCAAGGATGATAAATTAGTGGGAGTGCATAGTCCCCCTTGCACAATACAGCCTATAAAAGACACCGTAGCATTGGAGACAGAAGTTGTTCAAAGTGGTGAAGTTAGCAGTGAGAATAAAGAATCAAAGGGCATAGCCCTAAGTGAACTCCACAGTTTAGTTGGAACAGTTCACTCCAAGCAGGGCATTCATGAGTTCTCAGTAGAAACTTTAGGTACCACCATGGAAGAAACCATTCCAGACATCATAATCAAACCCCAGTTAGAGATCTCCCCACCTGACCTTGAACAGTCCCAGCCCCTCTCTGAAAATGGAGAAAATGCCCTTTCTGAACCCCTTCCTTCTACAGAACTGAGCCCAGGACTACTTCAGGATGACCTGCCGGCGAAGGATCTTTTAAGTGTGAAAAGGCCAGTAGCAGCATAATAAATGGTTAATACACACCATTTATAATGCAATGGTATTACACTAGGAATACTAAGAATTGAGTTACCACCAGCACCTAACCATACCCTTTTATATTCCCTGTTTCCTGATATTATTGTTTGTGCCGTGTTCTTTTGTTATGTCACTTTGTTGTCCAGTGTGTGATGAATGTTTTACAAATAGCAGGCATATATGCATACTTTCTCTTGCTACGAGAACTTTGCAAGTACTTTACCATAGGAAGAAAAGGGACCTTACCTCAGCCCTGTTGCAATCCTCACAATGCTGACACGTGAGCTTCATTCTTTTTCAAATATTCCACAATACTTTGCTTGCTTTCCAAACATCACTGACACTAGAGACAAGATACTGTGGAGTTTATCTAATGCCGATCAAGAAAAGCAAACATTATTGTAATATTATAATTGGTTATAATAATTTCTTAATATAATGTCACATTATTGAATAACTCAATTGAATAAACCAATAACCCCTCAAGGATAAAGACCAGAAATCATATCTAAAATGAGAAATGGCCCAAAATGCCAAATAGCAGAGTGGCAATTCTTACAAACAAGTTTAGTCCATGGAGAAAACTACTGAAGTGTAACTTCTTTATTAACTCTGAATACAAGGAGTTGCTATGTATGACTCCCTAGCAATTTGTATTTTTTTGTGGTGCATGCTGTATGTGATAGAAAATTATACAACTTATTTCTTTAACATAACAGTGATTCAGCCCGTTACAATTAATGATAATGTCGGGAATATCCAATTAAGGAATCTTTCTAAGGTGACATAAACTCATGTTTTTGAGTTTGTAATTGTAATTCCAAGACAGCTGCAGTTGCGTTTTTCTTTTCACGTGTTTGAATTTAAAACTGATATGAATTCCTTCGAAGTGGTAGAAACAGAATACATATCTTTAATGTAATAAGAAAAAAATAAATGAGTTTTAAAATGGTATGCACCGAGGGACGCATTGCAAACATGAGCTTATTACTCAAGGGATTCAGGGGGCAGACTTTGACCATATTATATTTATAGCTGTGGAAGTTATTCTTCCCAGTGACAAGTTTGTGCCATTTACTCTAATGAAGAGACACATTGTGCCTCGAATTCTTCTAAAATTTTAATTTTACACTAGATGTCTGACATTGAAGAAGATGTAGAATGCAATTAGATGTTTCATCATCCAATAACAGTGCTTAGGACAACAAAGGGCAAAAAATGTCATTTTAATGCACCAGTCCTGTTTCTGTTGACAATACATTATCACAGAATCATGCTGTGAAATGATGTGCTTGTGCTAGTCCCTGTAAGGTTGGATATCTTATTTTGGTCTTTGGTTTAATGCACTAGATCCCTGTTTCTCTGCCTTAGAGATTTGGCTTATAGTAATGTACAGTATCATTCTAACTTTGTCTATTGTAGTATGTCATCCTTTCACAGTTGTCATACAGTTTAACAATGGCAGATCAACAGAACGTGTAAAAAAAGTCATAGTGAAGATTTGAAAAAGGCAGTTTCTTGAGAACAAACAGGGACACATACATTGTATCTTCTCCAGTTATGTTCTGCATCCAGTTATTCTTGAAGGTTTTTTACATTCTGACTACAGCCCCCTTCAGTCTTTTGTGTTATCGTAAATATTGTGTTTAGCAGACAAGGACTCAATAGTATTTTAACATCACTTGTCCTCTCCTTCCAGTTGCTCTAAAAGTTCACATATTGTCCCTGAATGCATTCCACACAACAGATGTCTATCTCTCTTCCTCAGCATCTACAGAGCACACAGATCAAACCCTATATTGACAATCTTAAGTCTTAAGCCAATGAAAAACACCACAAAAAGAAGAACATATTTTCTAAATAGTGCTCCCTTCAACTTTTTCTAAATCACTCTTGGTTTAAGTTAATGTACTGTATTTCAATTTCTCCTTTTTCCAAATTTCCTTCAGAAGTATGTGTAGTAATTAGCCAAGCAAAAAAAGCTCAAAACAACATTAGTAACACAAAACATCATCTCAAGCTAGCAGTTTTAGGATTGATAATGTTTTTGGTACTAGTGTTACATTAGTCACAATGGTGAAATGAGAAAAGGTGGTTGTCCCACATCAGGCATGAATTATTCAAAATATATAATGTGTATATTCATTTTTCAGTGTAATGCAGTATGTTGCAGGCAAAACGAATAATATTAAAGGGATTCAAACCATAAAACTGCTTCAGGGAAAACTCCATGCAACTTCCCTGTGCCTATTCTTCTGCTGCCTTTTTTCCATCTCAACAGAATTGTTGTAAGGTTTCACTTCACTTATTACACTGATTTTTAAACTAGGCTTCGTAAATGAATGGCTTTGAACAGGGCAGAGAAGAGGAAGTACTTCAGATTTGAAAAGCACTTGGTTTAATCATTGATGCTCCAGTCTTCAGAGTTACAATTGATTTAGCTCAACAGACGTGGACGTTCTTCTTCAACTGCCCTTTCCAAAAGCATTGTGCTTTTTCACGTTTCTGTAATGTCTTTGACTCTAAAGGCCGAGCAGGAGGAGTCTTAGAGGACTTCAGTGCTGGGTGCCCAGGGTTGTGACGCGAGTCCCTCTTCTGTCTGCCCTGACACAGCCCGGCGGGGAGCAGCCAGTACAGCTCCTCGGGAAACCTGAGCCAGGCTAGCTCTCAGCTGAGCGAGCCGGGCCAGGACAGCGCCGGCGGCTCCGAGCTGGAGGAGCGGCGCGACCTCGACTCCTTCCACTCCTACCAGCCCAACGGACACGCCTGGGATGAGGAGGCTGCGGAGACGGAGCTGGGCCGGGACGTGAGCCCCCCGAGGCAGGAGCCCTCACCTGGAACGCCGCAGGAGTCCAAGGCCCAGCCAGAGAGGAGGCTTGAGAAGCAGCAGAGCAGGTTAGGGACCTGACTTCTCGTACTGTTGATAGACACACTAAAACTCAAGATGGTAGAAGGCAAAACCTTTTCACTGCCAGATAGTTTTCAGTTATTAAGCTCTTTGTTGTGGGGCTATGGGTAGTGGACACAAAATGGAAACACCAGATTAAATAAGGAACACCACGTACTGTATGTTTCACTTTTAAGGCTTTTTTTGTGCTATACACGACAGTTGGAAACTGAGGGCTGCAGTTTTTAACTTTAACTGAGGACTGAAGTATGAGTACTATTTTAATTAACAATACGTGGAAATATTTCTACTTCAAAGGGGAAAACTTTATACAGCCCCTTAGAACACAGGCCAATCAGGAAATAACTGCAGCTGTACTGTAAAGCTCAAACTCATGCACAATCCTTAGGGATATTATCTAAATTTAATTTAGGGAAAAACCGTTGTCTTCTACCTTTGTGCCAGTAAGATATTCCATATTGCTAATTAGTACTTTGTCTACTGCTCTTCTCAAATCAGCTCAGCAACTTAATCCTTATAAAATCATCATCCTTTGAATTTTCACTGATCATGGTTCTTCCTCCAGGACATTTCTTACTGAATTGGCTTTCTTCTTTCTTACCCCACAGTTGTGTGGAGGATGTGGGACCTCCCCCCTTCTCCCCATCAAGGGCACGCTGGCTTAGAGCCATCAATAAAGTCCGGGTGCAACTCCAAGAGGTGGGGCTAATCTCTCCTTGTCTCCCGTGCTCTGTCTCTCGCTCTGCTGCTGCAGTTTGGTTGAGTTTCACTGGGGCCTGCAATGAAACATCTGGCATGACAATTATTACATTAGTAAAGTCGGAGTTTGCAATTTCATGGCACGCTTTCCATTTGGGTCGATTGTTGTTTGTGTTTAACCCTGCAGACACTTGTGAAACTTGCAGAGATACAGCTGAACAAATGGCCGAGAAAGATGGATCAGCACTATTTGCTGTCTCCCGTCTTCCACTGAAATCTAGGTTTTCTAAGCAATTTCTCATCATCGGGGAAGGGTTCATCTGCTCCCTAATGCCTACAATCAAGGGCCCAAAGTGCTTTTCATAACTTGCCTTTTACTGAAAGTTAAAAATACTTTCAAATGCAGTTTTCACTTATGCTCATAGACTTTAATTTCATATTACTCAGAGCAGCAGGTAAAAGAGGATTAAAATGGAGCTAAAAGGAGACACACACTCTACATGTTTGTCTTAGCAGGAGATGGAAATCCAGTTATCTCTCATTTCCAAATACAGATGACCTGGACATAACATAATGTTTATTTGTGCAGGGGAGGTTGATTTGAAGTGTTGTTCTTTTGTAGATTTATATTGTCAGAAGGTACCTATGGGTTAACACCCATATGGGGAAACTTAAATAGTTTCAAATGACAGCATTTTTTCCTTGCCCAATATTCCTTAATTTTGTAGCAAGTTTGATTAAGGACTAAGGTCATGTCTGCGTCTGCACGAAAATGAGGCCTGAGGAACAGGTCTATGGTGAGCCACGTCTTTGTCAAGATTATCACTGATTTATAGGCAGGCAGGAATCATATTCTGAGAACATACACTGAAAATAGCAACTATTTTCCCAGCAGAAAATTGCAGAAGCTTTTCGCCTAAGCGAACGCAGTGTTCCAAACCAAGGTACTGTATGAAGGGTGGAAGGGTGAAGCCATTACTCAAGGACATCATTAGCAAGGGTGGTGGCTAACCTGTGATCACTCTCACACACCCCATGCAGACTTTGTGACTGGGGAAGTGAAAGAAGTCAGTTCCTGTGTTGTTGTGCTTGTGCTGTTTTTTTTTTAAATCTCGTCATACAAAGCCGACAGCAGTAACCTTACATCTTAGTGTTAGAAAAACCTGAAGCACTATTTTAACAAAGAATGCCTTTAATTTCACCAGAATGGTAATTATATAACTCCAATTGCTCTACAGGTAATTTTATGTTGAGTCATACTCTCAAGACCTCTGGGGTCTTTAAAATGTACATTTTGGATCTTGGTGATATCGTGATTGACCTTTTCATCTTGACACTGTGTAGATTGTGTGTTCTGTATGATTTTCTACATGATTGCCCATGATTGTTCTTGAATAGTGTTGTTCATCAAGTAAAGCATTGTTTTTGAGACAGAATTCAGCTACAGTGGATTGAAAAAAAAACACAATGTCAAACTGTGTGTAAGCACAGCTGTAAAAATGAATGTAGTGGTTCTGGGAAACATGACTGATGATTTGAAAATTGTTCAGTGGAAATGTCTGTGGTGAATTACTCTGTAGAAAGTGAGGATAAAGGTCTTGCTCCTAATGCAAGAAATTGTATGTGGCCAATAAAGTGATCTTATCTTAAAAAAAAGGGCAGTGCACTGGCTCTGTGGCTGAGGATCTGTGCCTGTGGCTGGAAGGTTGCCAGTTCAAATCCAGTGGCCAGCAGAGGAATCCTACTCCATTGGGCCCCTGAGCAAGGCCCTTAACTCCAGCTGCTCCAGGGGTGCTGTATAAATGGCTGACCCTGCGTTCTGATCCCAAACTTCTCTCCCTGTCTGTGTGTCTCATGGAGAGCAAGCTGGGGTATGCGAAAAGACAAATTCCGCATACAAGAACTTTTACTATATATGGCCAATAAAGTGATCTTCTCTTATCTTATCTTTGCTATAAACAGTACATTCATGTTCTGTATAATCTTAGGGTTCTCATTTTGGAGAATCTTGGATGCTGAGTACTGTAACTTCATAAAATGGGGGAAAATGCATAGACGTGTCTATACCGTGAGGAGAGAATACATAACAGTGCCTTCATCAAGTTCTGCTTTTTTGAATGCCCAAAACTTAAGAGAGAAATGGAAGCAACTTCAGTCAAATTTATAATTCTAAGATTGCATTTTGAGACAAAGGTTTGTAATTGCATTTTTTTTTTTCAATTGTCTCTAGCATGTACGTTTCCAGCCCCAGGTCACACATTTTGAGAGAATAAGGAATGATGTAGATGAAAATAGGCTCCTTCTTTTTTTCTTCGTTCCACAAAAGTTAAGAGACTAAATGACAGGTTTTTCTGTTGATAACTTGGAACATATGCATGTTTGGCCCATTTAGTATTTTTGGTAGTTAGTGGTTAATTGATGTAAGAACCTCATTCAGCCATTTCTTGACAAAAGCCATTTTATTGGCTTGAACAACATGGATGGGCAGCTTGTTCCGAATTCCCCCAATCCTTTGAGTATAGAAGTATTTCCTGTTTCCAGTTTAAATACACTTCCACATGGACTTGAACAGTTTGATTGATTTTATGAATGTCTTATTGACTTTTGCTGACTTTTATGAGATCCCTACATTTTCATCAATTTCCCTACGAGATTAATAAAGTATTATCTATCATAGTCTTTGTTCAAGGTTAACCTGATTAAGTTCTTTCACCCTGTCATCTTAGGACATCTTTTCTATAGTTAAGGTTTAGGGGTCAGAGAGTTAGGATGGGGGCAACCATCATCTTATGTGTAAGGCTATAGAAATGCAGTAATAATGTAGATGTCAGAGTCATTGTTCACCCCAACCTCTGTCTGACCTCTACAGTATGTTTCATAGATCTGAGAGCACATTTTACAGTATCTTATCACTTCCTCTAGTGCAGATGCTTCCATTTGCTATAAAGTTGAAGTCTTTGCATGTGGCAGCTAAATTGAACTATACAGGTATTTGCGTTCTTAAATAAATAAGAAAAGACTCTGTGAATAAAATGCGTGAAGTAAATCTGGATTAGTGTTGGTATATTTCTGTATCAAAAATGCCTTTATATGTAATAGCCCTTAAAGACTGCAGTCTTTCAAAAGGGTTTCAAAAATATCGCAGCTCTCAACTCCAGTTTTAACCTTTGTGCTCTTCCCTGTCTGAAATTTGCAACATAAATTAAACTACACTTTGCCACAGCTTATGATGATCACTGTGAGTTAAAGTATAAATGTCCAAAGCTGCTTGGAATGTCACAAAATGCAGCACATTGAGGTCTACCTGTGTGACCTCCTACTGCCTTTCACATCAAAGATTAAGGCGTAATTATACAGTATGTCGCCATTGTAGAAAGGCAGCGGAAGAAATGAGTCAATCCTATTAGAAAGGCATCAGTGGGGCTCCAGTGCTCCTTCCAGACAGGCTGTTCAGCTTCATTTTATGATTACCAGGGCCACTTACAGCAGGGGATTGAGTAGTTTTACAATCTAATTCCAGTGTCTAGATCTTTCTGTTTGACTTGCTCCCTAGATCTATGATACAGATCAGTGAGTCAAATATTTAGAATTTGACTGCCTCTTGTTCTACAGGCAGATGCACATACCCATATAAAATGATTTATCCCTACAATGAATTGTATTTGCATTGCAGCTTTAACCTATGCCATGTACAGTACATACTGTTTTTTAGTGCATTACAGCATTTAAGGTACAGTATGCCATGACATTCATAACCTTTGCATCACAGAGATGAAAAAGCTTTTTTGCTGGATCCATTGAGAAAAAAAGTGCTCCACTTTCTCTACATACTGTACACTAAACCCAGGTAACAGATTTCCTTGCTTTTTAAGATGCGTAAAATGTGCATGATTTATGTTTCCCATTACATTGATTATTGCAAGAGGAGCAGTTTTTTTTTTACTTTTTACAGCATTCTTCATAAAATGGTTGCAAAAAGTTGTTGTTGTTTTTTTTATTTGACCTGCTTTGTCACTAGTTGTCATGACGGAAGTGTCACATCAATGAAAATAAGAAACTCCTACAGTAGTTGTACATCTCGCCCTGATTTTACAGTGCAATGGGATTTAGAATTTTGACCTTTTGGTAGTTTATAGTTAATTCATTCCTAGGATCTCTTCCTTGCTAGGGTATCGGTTAATCCCAAAGCTCTTTGGATAGGGAAGCCACTCCCGTTGTTGGTTTTAACTGCACTTCCATGCAGTTTCCACTGGTGTCGATTCACGGTTCACTGTTCATTTCGAAGAAGGTCTCAGTGATGATGTTATCAAGACCTTGGAGGACTTTTTTATACTTGTGTCAGGTCTCTTTGGAATGTTACTCTGTACAAGGCTAACAAAGGTTCTGTCCCTTCAGGCTGTCAGTGTAGGACGTTCCCTTGTTCTCTGGAATATATATGGTTGCTCTTCTTTGATCTGGTTCCAAAGAAACAATATTTTTCTTGAAAGTGGTGACCAAAATTGTACACGGTGTTCTAAATAAGGCCTAATTAGTGTGTTACACAATGAAAACATCACATCCCTTGATTTAAATTCTACACCTTTAACTAGATATCCTAACAATTTGTTTATCTTTTTAACTGCTTCCCCACATTGTCTAGGAGCTGTAAATGATGTATCAGCATAGACACCTACCTGTAAGTCCTGTAAGTGTTCATTTGTACTGCCTGCATTCAAATCCCTTCACTATACAACATTACAGTATGTGCCATCTGCCAGGAGTTTGCACAGTCTTAAGTTTTATCCAATTCTTTTTTAATTTAATTGTAGAAGCAGCGGGTGCTAATCCTCCCAAATAGGTATAATCTGCAAACATGTCAAGTTTATTAACTATAGCAGAATCTATGTGATTGAAATAAATTACGAGCAGCAGTGGTCTTAGTAGAGAACCCTGTGGTACATCAATAATTACAATACATCACTCCAAGATGGTAAATGGTGGCCAGTATACTTGTTCACCTA